AAATCAAGATATTCACAGAAGATCGTTAATCTCACTATCCAACTTATAAAACACTCATTTTGAATTCAGAATTACCACCGATTTAGTTGGTACAAATAAGTTTTTATTTCATGAAAGTAGATACATTTTATGTCTTGAAAAACAAAAAGCATCCCGATTTACTTGGTGTGAGCAGTTTTAAACTTTATCTCTTAGGTTTTAAGAGAGACTGAGACTGAACAAACGTAGCTGTGTAATAAAATATTTATTGTATTGTTGGTGCTTTTAGGCTCTTCAAGCATTGGTCAGCGTCCTCGTCGATCTTGTCGATCACGACGAAGAGTTCGACGTGCGAACTAGCCCATACCAAACACAGCCCACTGAGTTTCTCGCCGGATCTTCTCAGTGGGTCGTGATTCCGATCCGGTGGTGGATTCAGCGAAGCACTGCTCTTGCTGGGGTCAGTGTTAGCAATTCTCTCAGATTGAGCCCGTGAGCTCACCTATCAGTCCGTGAGTAGTTGGAATATTGCCTTAAACTACTGACAACTAGGTAGAGTAAAAAATGTATTGATTTCATATTTATAATACTTATTTTTAGAAAACAGTTATTGTCTATTTTAATATTAAAACTCCTCCCTCCTCGCGTCGTGTTCCTCAATACTGAGGGTCGTGACTCCCCCGCTGCATCAGTTTCTCCCGTACGATTTCCCTCCATCTGCTGCGATCTTTAGCTTCATGATGGGCATTGTGGAAGTGGATGTTTAGAGAAGATCGTATTTGGTCCGACCATCTCGTGGGACTGCGTCCTCTGAGACGTTTGCCATCTACCTTTCCTGTCACCATCAGCTGTTCTAGATTGTGACCCTCTTTACGAGCAATATGTCCGAAGAATTCCAGCACTAAAAGCTACGCTTCATATTTTGATTTCGAAAATCGAAACGTCATAAATAATATAAATGACAATAAAAACGCAAGATTAAAATATAATATTAGTTCTAATTATACATATCGAATGTAATACTTTTGAAATAAGATTATTTAATATAAATAAAAACAACATTCGTCAGTGAGCTCTGTCCTCTTTAAGTTGTTCAGTAAAATGACACCACGTACGTGGTCAGCTTCTGTAGAAATTGCATTATCATCAATGGCCATACAGTTTACCGGTATTCGATGCATCAACACATGCGCAAGAGCATCGAATATGATACCCGTCGTATAATAAATCTCGATAAATTGATCGAGTAAAATTTTAAAAGATATCTCTATAACTATGATCTTGGCAGGCAGCGGCTTGGCTCTGCCTCTGGCGTTGCTGACGTCCATGGGCGACGGTAATCACTCATCAGGTGGGTGGTATGATCGTCTGCCTTTGGCCTTGCCAAGGGCAATTTAAAAAAAAAGTCTTTTCATTTGAACCAATGAGTTGCGTCGGTTGCTAATGAGACCCTAGTTCTTGCAGTCTTGTAATAAACTATCTGAACTAGTGGTCCCGCAGTAGTCGAAATTCGTTTATAATTAGTTGAAATTTTGTGTTTAAACCTTGTTATCGTTATATTGTCAAACACTATTATACTTCCTAATATAATTAAAGATTTCGCCAAAACTACACTATAGATAAATAATATTAAAGACAAAGAATATTAATCTATTCTCAATTTGACCACAGACTTTGAACAACAAAAAAAGTTTGACAATTGACAATAAACAAAGAGTATATTTATATGTATATGTTGTGTCAAATACATGGTAGTGTGTGTAATATTTTATTTATATTAGCAGTCTGCACTCCTTCTCTATATTCTCTATAAATGTGAGAAATTTCATACTACTCCGTCTGCGCAATTTTCGTAAAAACGGGTACAAAATTTTTGCTTCACGTATTTAATATATAGATATTACAGTCAAAAAAAAACTAAAAAGCTATGCAAACAAAAGCGATTATTTCACAAACTAAACCACACTCTAAAAAATATTTTAATCGACAAACGTATGACTGAATTCGCTTATCAAAGAAAATCGCAGCTAGGTATCGTCTGGTCTAATGCACTGAAACGTTTTTTTCCATACAGCGATTGTGAGATAAAAAGGAAAACGGCTATAACTAAATGCATTTGTTCATATCACGTGACTCGTTGTTGAGACACGGCATCGATAATGAAGTCGCCTATGCCCACCTTGACGCGTTAGTTTGCAGCTGTTAAGAGCTCATTGCAGTGTGCTTAGTGTGAGTTCTTTAACGTTCTCGATCGCGTAAAAGTTAACTCAGATTTGTATGGAGCTGGAACAGCGCCCCTAGCGGCAAACGAGAACGTTAAAAAACTCGCATTAAACACTATAATGCAAAGCTATATTCATAATATGAATTCAAAGAGTAGGACAACTTAAATACAATTTTGAATTTCTTGTCTCAAAATGAAACAAGACTACTTAATATAGGTCCTATACGTTTTGGTTCAAATAAAAAATAAAAATAAAATATTACAGCGCGAACCAGTACCGGCAAATATGTACTACCATTCCGCATAGTTTAGTCGCGCGAAGTTGTCACGCATTTCGATTTGATAGCCAATAAACATTACAATTGAGATTTTAACCTCCCGTAACTACTTAAAATCAGGTGGGTCGTAAAAGTAGGTTCATTTATGGCAATCAAAAAATAAATTAATTGACTGTAAATTATAAATCCAATAAAAGGTCTGTGTAATATCATTTATAATACTGTGGCTTGAATTAAAAGCATAACACGAACCGTGTTTATGTGCAGGTTGGCGCATGCGCGTTGCTTCGTACACCTTGCGTTTTTTAAACATATTGAAACTTATCAGGTTTTCTACTTAGCTCGTTGTATTTAGAATGTTTTTTTTTTAAATTGAGCTCAGGTATACAATTTTTTTATATTTCGAAGAGCCCAATAAATCATAAAAGGGATGCTTTACAGCTTAAGGTTTTAGGCTTAACAGCGTACTGGTTGATAACAAATATAATCACAAAGTCAGATAATAATCAAATGATTCTTCTAAATATTTAATACGTAACGAATTTTAAAATTTTAATTCCAGGAAAATAGGATACTAATAGAATTAATATTTTATTGTTATTAATGTATTATTAAAATTAATCTTAATTCATAAAATATACACATTAAAATGACTCGAGCGCCAACTTTGTACTTTAAAACTTTAAAAAACAATATTGTCTATGGCTAGTCACATAAAAAATAAATGATTGCTTAGGTGACTGAACGAGCTCACAGCCCACCTGGTGTTAAGTGGTTTCCGGAGCCCATAGACTTCTACAAAGTAAATGCCGCCACCCACCTTGAGACATGAGTTCTAAGGTCTGACTTTTAACAGTACAACGGCTGCCCCGCCCTTCAAACCGAAACGCATTACTGATTCAGGGCAGAAATAGGCAGGGTGGTGGTACCTACCCTACGACGTCCTACCACCAGTAAAAACTTAATCTAATTAACACTCACCAAATTGACATTTCTTACTTCAATGAAATATAACAAATAGATTTTATCGATTTTTCTTGAGATCTTAAAATTTTTGTAATATTATTGAATGGCTGAAAATGAAGAACAGTGCAATAAATTTTAATGTAAAATGCATTAACGCACAAAAACACTTTTAATACCTCACGGAACAATCCCCGACGCAGTCAGTCTCGACGTGACGCAGCGAAAACGCTTGCTCATGCTGACCAGCATAATTCTATCATGTACAGTAAGAACGGCACTGATTTTAGCAGAGTTCATTCGAATGATTGAAATGTATTGTATAACCGAATTTTAGTTTATTCTAAACTATATTCACCGTTTCTGTTTAAAAAAGTATGGACTGTTTTAAAATTACCGCCGAAAGAATTTCCACTGCGTCAACCGTTAGTTCTTAGCAGTAATATCGATCGGCCGACGATCCATTGCCGCGTTACAAGCACCGCCACGCATCGCAACCGGTACTGCACACGAAATGAAATACAAAAGTTAAAAGTAACATTAGCCGAGAACGAACTTGTAAAACCTAGCCAAACGAGATAAGGGCGTAGGCAGCCGACAGTCGAGTGGCGCACTCTCGTGAAAGACAAACGAACAGATAACTATTGAAATTTTGTAGAATCTAAAACATTTACACGGAAGCTTTTGTATTGTTGTACAACGCACCGATACTCAATAACTGGGCCATGTATTGCGTACATTACAGCGTCGTCGTACGTGACGATAGCGACATCGGTTGGCTTGTACCGAGCGCAGGGTCGCAGAGCCGCAGAGCTAGTGCGGCCTCATCGCCCTCTCTTCGTCGCAACGCAAATCGTTGAAATCAAAACTTTCACGCTACGGAGCGCTACGAAGTTTTAGAGCTACGAACTTCCTGCTACACGGATCGTAGCGCCGCACTCAAAACTTTGTTCAAAAAGCTTTTTATTTGTCACTTTCTGTTATCAGACGACTGATACATGAGCTCTGTGTGCGTTAACTTTTCACGAATCACTTGAGTTATCGCAAGTGCTCACCTGATATTAATCATCTCGTTTCTAATAAGTCTATTTACCATTCCTTCTTTTAGCACATATGTGAAGAGTACCTTCCAGAAGAACTCTGAAGTATTAAGAATATATTTTGTATAACTTCAGAATTATTTTTTTATTGCTTAGTTGGGTGGACGAGCTCACAGCCCATCTGTTGTTAAGTGGTTACTGGAGCCCATAGACATCTACAACGTAAATGCGCCACCCACCTTGAGATATAAGTTCTAAGGTCTCAGTATAGTTACGTTACAAACGAATAAAATTCTACTTCAGTCAGCTTCGAATTCGAAAGTGAGATAACATTGAGAGCTGATATCATAGGAATTTCCAGATTTCAGAGGTATTTCCAGTGGGGCATTGTGTGGTGATGGTAGAAGGAGCCCAGGATCGTTGGTGTTGGCGCGGGTCGCAGGTGGGCGCCGATGTGTGCCGAGTGGAAACGAAGTCGAGCCGAGGCCGAACGTTGTGTCCGCGGCGGCCGGTCGCTTGGAGCGTGGAGCGCCGCTCGCCTCAGTCAGCGCTCGGCTTCCACTCTGTACGCTTGTGTTAGTGACGCCGTGCTGTGACAAATTGACAGTTGTGATCGTGAACGAGTGATGTTTTCGTGTCGGAACTATGGTGTATCCTCATGAAAATGTGGAGTGATTTTCAGGTTAGTGCTACATTTATATCAGTCTTAAACGTTCTGTAACGATTTTCAAATTATATAATAAATTCAAAGTTTGTTAATAAAAATATTCTTTTCTTTATATTAACTTTTTAATAAATTTGATTTCTACTTATGTAAGTAATATTTAGCCCGCCAAAATTAGAATTGGCTTTTGAGTGCATTTTCAAAAAAAAAAATTAAATTTAATGTTAACGACTTAAGATTGAAACAATGACAATTTTATATATTGAATGGAAGGTAGATTCAATAAATATTTAGGTTCAGTTAGACCTTCTTGATTAAATCAAAAAAGTAAACTTCATATAATGTGTTTGTCATTTGACTTTATTTCTTCGTGTATCACTGGTGATACCGATATTCTTATTTCTTTGTTAGACGTGCCTTTAAATAAGTAGTAGACAACAAAACAAATCGTACAGAAACAACGAGTATATTATTTTCTTCCGTATCGTTAGATTTAGGCAACGTGCAAAATTCGTAAACGTGCTACCGTTCGCATATTTAATTATAAATCGGGAATATTTTCTATATTTTCCTCAAAAAATATTCGGAAACTGCGAGCGCGCCTTTTTTGAATCTGACAGTTGGGCTCGTTTCCGGCGACCTGTCAAATGCCATGTGATAGATAGAAGGGCGCATTCGACGGAGTTTTAAATCAAAGCGCGGTATTCGGAATCTCGATAACTGCACGACGTTCGAGGCTCGAGGCAAGCGAGACTCGTCAGAGAAATAAGTACGTTATGCCCGTCTCGCTCTGGCGCGTGCAGCCGTCTCGCTCTCTGGCGGCGGGTGTTTTTGTGTCGAGGCGGGTTTTTTGTGAACGTTGCGTTGCGAGGCTGGCGCTCGCTCGACTCGACCGACTCTACATTAATTATAGCAGAGTTGGCTCGCCATCCACACACAACGCGAACGCACATTACATACTTTCTATATTCCTTACGTTATTACGGACTATTTAAAACAAAACCAACCATTTTCAGACCTTTTAAGACTTTTATGATACATCTAAAGTTTAGATTTTTAATAAAATATGTTGATGTAAGTTTAGTCTTTTCCAACGTCATCTTTGTTCTAAGAACATTGTTTCTGATATCGTTAGTGGAACCTGAGTAGGAGTTAGATCACTGTTCGTTTTAATACGCGGTCCGGTAGGCAGCGCGTGTAAAGCGTTAGGGCGCGTTGCCATGGCGACGGCTAGGGCGCCCCGCCCAGCACCAGCCCCCTGCGCCTCCTTCGAACAACTTATCGAGATTTAGTTTATTCCTTGCATGGAATCGCTAATGTTAACACGGATCCACGGAGAACGCTTATCGCTTCGTCACGCAACTGTTGAAAATATGGCTCGACAAATTCCACACTACATTTGACGTCTCGCCATTCAAACCACATGCTAAAACTATGAAAAGTACTCTTTTAATAGGAAGCAGCATATATTGAGTATTGTCATTATAACAGCAATATACAAAAACAATATTTTTATCTACTAAACCAATCGGACATTGTATTTTTATCGATAACGAGAAATTTCGACTAAAGATTTAGAAGTGAGTCCGCTCGTAAGGATTTCCCTATCATTCAACTATATTGATAGCATTCTACTTAATTCCCTACTACCTCAACCCTAATTTTAGAGCAATAAGACATGTTGATAACTCTAAAGTTATCATCATCATTTCTATTTCTAGTACGAATCTACCATGCGTTCTCGTTAAGTTAGTATATTTTGATTCCGATGCATATCGGGCCTCGAAGTCATGTCCCAGGGTAACCGCTTTACAACAATGAGCTCATCACTGGGCCTACGCAAAAAAATCTAAGCGTATGTAAAGAAAGATAAAGAGTTTTCAATTCATTATCGATATATCTAAAGGGGAATCAAAGTCTTTTGATTAGGTACTTTAAAAACAATATAATAATATCAAGGCACGATAAGAGAAAAAAATCAAGGATACTATTATAAAATCCGGGAAAGTCTTGATAAAATACAAAGTTTCATTAACCACACTTATAAATTTATAACCACTTAACATAAGGTCTTAAATTCGAAAATTTCATTTCTTTAAATAAGTTATTGTAATGATTTAGTTCGTTTTGATGAATAAAAAAAAAACCTTATTACATTATTTAATACTGAATCTAAACTATTTTCAAATTCACACAAAAAAGAATAATCAAATACGGCCCAGCCTTTAGAAGGAGTTCACTAAGATATACGCGGCCAGAAGAAGAATTATACATACCTAGTTAGATTTTATTAAAACATTTGAGTAGCAATATATATTCTGTAAAAGTAACTAATTTTTACGTCAGCACCTCAACACTTATCGGTTTGTCTATTGAGAAATAAGATTATTCCTATATTGACATCCCAAAATCTTGGTCCAGTATTCATATAGAACTTACCCAACTAGTATTAGGGAGAGAATTCAGAATAGGGAGATGATCGGTACTAACAACCAGTACTAATGATTGGGTTCAGTCTTCGACTTAATGTCCCAGAGCGGGAGTTTCACTCGACATCTACATATCTACCTAATCATCATCATCATCATCATCATCAGCTTTTATCTGCCCACTGCTGGACATAGGCCTTCCCCAATGCCTTCCACATAATGCGGTCCTCCGCCTTCCGCATCCAACGACTTCCCGCCTTACCTACCTAATGTATCTAATAAATTGGTAATCACTTAAATAGACCGTGAATTAGTCTATCCATCTACAGCATTTTTTCTTGAACATCCAAAAATAGCCGCCTTCGAAACAGCTGATCTATCTATGTATTGAATAAATTGATAATCACTTAACACTTAAATAGACCGTGAATTAGTCTATCCATCTACAGCAATTTTTCTTGAACATCCAAAAACAGCCGCCTTCGAAACAGCTGATCTATCTATGTATCTAATAAATTGATATTCACTTAACACTTAAATAGACCGTGAATTAGTCTCCATCTACAGCAATTTTTCTTGAACACCCAAAAACAGCCGCCTTCGAAACAGCTGATCTATTTATGTATCTAATAAATTGGTAATCACTTAACACTAAATAGACCGTGAATTAGTCTATCCATCTACAGCTATTTTTCTTGAACATCCAGAAACGGCCGACTTCGGAACAGCTGAAAATAAAAATGAGACAAACTTTAAAAGCTTCGTCGCTATCACGAAGCCTCACCCGAAACCACGTGTTCAAAGTTTGTATGCAAAGTGAGGATGTTTGTAAACCGTAGGCCTATCCCCGCGGGTGGGGGTGGAACAGGGTGCAGCGGAACTTGTTGCAGTCACGTGCACCCCCAAGGAACTATTCGCAAACTATCGCACTTCAAATATATACAACGAAAACAGATTCTCTTCAACTTACCGTAGTTTTAAGTTTTGCGATGTTTTAAGCTGTTTTCTTTTTAGAGCACACTCGATGTTACGTCTAACACGTTTTTAAATACATATTAAAATGACATAAGTAGATTTACGGTTACAGGATTTTAAACCTTTGTACTCCTTGATTAAGTACAATTGCAAAAGCACATTGTGTGAGACGCACATTGACTTCATTATCGAAATGAGTTTAAGTAATAGTAACACCCATCAACGTATAATCTGAAATAAAAATCATATTAGTAGTACCTATGCAAACACAATTTTTTTATGTCCTTAAAATGAATTTTGATTGAGCCAACTTTAATTATAGCATTTAGATTGTGTATAAATAGCTTAACTTATATTTAAAGTCAAGTTAACGATAAGTTATTGAGAATTAATTTTACTTTACATACTATTTAATGAACAGAGAAGTTTTAAGGTTTACGGCCTTGTTAAAAGTATTTATTTTTACTCAGCTTTAAGCTTCAAGTTTACTTTGCTACTGTAAGAGTTACGTGTATAATCAACAGCGCTAACAGTGTTCGTATTTAGGAAATCAATTATTAGGTATACCATATAGAACAGTAGTTTCAAGATTAGCGTGGTCATTATGAGAAGTGCAGGAAACACATGCTTGTATACAATTCATGCCATTATCATTGAATAAATAGTAAAAGTAAATTACTTTGAAACAACATAGTAACGGTGTTATTAACCTCTGCTATGAATAATCTAATACTTGGCTGTTTTAACATAAAAAAAAAAGTTCGCGTTATACAAAAATAATGTTCGAATCATAATGATGAGGCAATTTATGTATGAAACAAGGTCGACTTTGTTTATTTTCCGTTTTACGGGGGATTCACTTGCTAGTTGCTAGTGACGGATTGTAATCGCATTGCTACGGTCGTGTTTTGTTATTAATAAAACTACAAAAACAAACTTTGAGAAACGCGAGATGTTGCCGTCGGTCTCGCGCGCCGCAACCAATAATCACATCACGTAATAATAACATTTTTTATTACATGTTTGCCGTTAAATTCGCGTTCGCGACGTAAACAATCGACCACGTGGAGTAAAAGCAATAGTACACTCGTAAACAAATGAATGAATTAGCCATAGCGCCGCATATCGGTGAAGACACGCATAATAATCACTTATGCAAACGAGCCTAATTATGTAAAGCATTATGAAGTGCGGCGGCGTGTTTTGACATACGCTAACGACCAATTATATGTTCATTGTGTGACTCGGTGAACTTGAGAGACATTATAATAATATAGGCCATCGACACGTCGCGTGAATGTCGTGCCTTGTCACAACACCTGTTTAGAAAAAAAAAAAAGATGCGGACGAATGTCAGGTGCAACGGATACTCTGTACAAATGATAAAGTCATATATTAACTATAGACTTTAGAACTTATATCTCAAGATGGGTGGCGTGTTTACGTTGTAGATGTCTATGCGCTCCGGTAAACACTTAACTCCAGGTGGGCTGTCAGTTCGTCCACCCATCTAAGCAATAAAAAAAATAAAAAACAACTATCCGATTATATATTTACAAGTGTCATATTTAATATTTGTAAGGCTATGTGCGTTGTGCCTAAATTCTTTTAGCT